AAAAACGCGGTTTCATGGATTTTCCATTTGAAACTTAAATAACTTATTTACTTTATAACGGATTTATAATATTCTTTTTTTCTATCGAAGAGTACAATTTTTCCTTTCAAACAAGATATATATTTGGTAAATCGGTTGAGGATTGGCTGAGTTACAGCGGTTGAAATGTGAAAAAATACGCATAAAGTGACAAAATTTATTTTTCTTCGGACTGTACGATGAAGTTATGATATCAAGCCATATAAGTTTTATTATATTACGGGGAAGAAAATTAAATTAGCTTTCGAAAATGATAAAAATCAAAAAAATCGGTTAAAAAATGAATGACTTCTACACATTTTTGTATTGATTCTATGCATATTCTCTAAAGGAAATATGGGCCTATCTCGTTTCCCTTTGCCTGTTGCAAACATAACGGTTTGTAACAGGAAACGATACAGACCCATATTTCCTTTAGAGAATATGCATAGAATCAATACAAAAATGTGTATAAGTCATTCATTTTTTAACCGAATTGTTTGATTTTTATCATTTTCGAAGGCTAATTTAATTTTCTTCCCCGTAATATAATAAAACTTATATGGCTTGATATCATAATTTCATCGTACAGTTCGAAGAAAAATAAATTTTGTCACTTTATGCGTATTTTTTCGCATTTCAACCGCTGTAACTCAGCCAATCCTCAACCGATTTACCAAATATATATCTTGTTTGAAAGGAAAAATTGTACTCTTCGATAGAAAAAAACAATAGTATAAATCCGTTATAAAGTAAATAAGTTATTTAAGTTTCAAATGGAAAATCCATGAAACCGCGTTTTTCTCTATATTTACCGTTATAAAATTAATTTTCGAAGTGACCCAGAAAAATCAAAGGTATTTTCGTGGTCCAGGGACTTCAACTAAACAGAATTGGTACAATAGAACCCTTGAAAATTTTTTTTTGTTATTTTGTAGCACAGTGTTATCGACCTTATGTTATCGATCCCATAAGAACCCAATGTAGCAAATTTCAGCAAATTCTGCTGAAAAACGCGTTAAAGAACCCCAAAATACCGAAAATTGAGGAGTACCGTCATATGGGGGTACCAGAAAAAATTGACCTATATTTATAATTTTTAGTAGGGAGATTTGCTACCCAATAAGAACTCAAAGTACCAAATTTAAGCGAATTCGCTTGAAAAACACGCCCAAGAACCCCAAAATACCGAAAATTGGGAGTACCATTATATGGGAGATATGCCTAAACGTAGACCGATATATCCCATCATCGAACTTGACCTGCCTGCAGACAAAAGACAACTTCATGCAAAATTTCAGCACCCTATCTCAATTACTTCAGAAGATAGCGTGATTACAACAGACGGACGGACATGTCTAGATCGTCTTAGAATTTTTTTTAATAATTTCATAAAAAATTTCGATCCTTCAATATTCCTGGATTTATTAAAAAATAGTTTTATGTGAGTCATTAATTTTCCAGTGTTTAAAAATAGATCCGTATAAAAAATGTAGGTTCTAAATGGTCATCGAAATTATTATTTCAAATTACAGATTTTTAAAAAAACAATTGCCAAGGAACCAAAAGTTTTTGAATGTCAACTTTTTATACCCTTCACCACTCTGTGGTACATGGTATTATGTCATTGTGCATATGTTTGTAACAGTCAAAAGGAAACGAGATAGACACATGGCTCCTTTTGAGAATATGCATAGAATCACTTCTTAAGACGATCTATGCATGTCCGTCCGTCCGTCTGTCTGTCCATGTTAAATTGTGAACAAAGTACAGGTCGCATATATGATCCGAATTGGATGAAATTTGGCAGAGCTCATTGCTTTGGCATAAGGACGAACCCAATTGAAATTGGAAAAAAATCGGTTCAGATTTAGATATAGCTTCCATATATGTTTTCGTCCGATTTAATGTATACGGTGTACCAATGTCCCTATATATCTTTCGGTTTGCACGAAATTTGGCACAGCGAACTGAATTAGGTCAAGAATGATGTGTGTTAAGTTTCCCGAAAATCGGTTCAGATTTATATAAAGCTCCCATATATATTTTCGTCCGATTTTATGTAAATGGTATACCTAAGTCCCTATATACCTTTCGATTTGCAAGAAATGTGGCACAACGTAATGAAATAGGTCAAGAATGATGTGTGTTAAGTTTCCCGAAAATCGGTTCAGATTTAGATATAGCTCTCATATATATTTTCGTGCGATTTAAGGTAAATGGTGTACCAAAGTCCCTATATATCTTCCGATTTTTACGAAATTTGGCACAGCGTAATAAATTAGGTAACGAATGATGTGTGTTATGTTTCCTGAAAATCGATTCAGATTTAGATATAGCTCCCAAATATATATTCGTCCGATTTAAGGTAAATGGTGTACCAAAGACCCTATTTATCTTTTGATTTTCACGAAATTTGGCACAGCGTAATAAATTAGGTCAAGAATAATGTGTGTTTAGTTTCCTGAAAATCGGTTCAGATTTTGATGTATCTCCTACATATTTTTTTCTTCCTATTTTATGTAAATTATGCACTAAAGACGCAAAGTTTGTCCGATTGCCACACACTTTTGTACAATGAACTGTAGTTAATATAAATTAATCTCTGGCAAGTCTCGTTGAAATCGGTTCAGATTTAGATATAGGTTTGCCAAACTCCTCATGTTTATCAGATATTTATCCAAATAATCAACGGGTATCCGATTGATATTTGCTTTAAATTGATTTACATAATTTTGTCCCATTGTAGGAAGCAAAAATATATCTGACCAAATGATAAATTTAGTATAGGTTGCAGAATGACATGTTTAGGGATCCAATTTCATTTTGCTGGCCCTTCAAAAATTCGACGTCTGTTAGGATTCATCTGTTGAATATACCCAAAGTGTTGAAGGGTATCATATAGTCGGCCCCGTCCGACTTTACTACTTTCCTTACTGGGTTGAAATTATTTTTTGTAAATGCGTGGTTTTTTAAAAATATTTTGGTCTATATATACTGAAAAATAATTTTGTGCCAATTTCATCTAAATGTTGCATCAAATATCCAACTTTTTCAACGGTGATAACTAAATGGAATGGAATTTTTTACACCAAATTGTGCCCAGAATGACATGTAGAATTCGCTTCGGATTAGGATATAGCTCCTATATTTATTTCTACAGATTTTTTTGCAAAGTATGCACCAAATTACTTATAAAGAACAAAAGCGTTTTTTTTTTGTAAATAATATTTATTTAAGAGTATTATCATTTGTTCATTTTTATCATCATATAATATAATCAAAAATCGATTTCGTTTTAGCTTAAAATTAAGTAGTGGTTATAATATTTTATAATCGTATTGAAAAAAAAAAAACAGAATAAACATTTAAAATTGTAGATAGTGTCGTGGAGATGAATAAAATATTTCACAAAAAGAAAAAAAAACTTAATTTTATTATTTATAAAAAAATACATTTAACTATTATAAGAAGATGAAGAAAGAAAAAAAAAACTTGGAAAATAAAATAAAAAAAATCAAAATATTTATAGAAATTAAAAGCAATAAAAGCATTATGTGTGACATATAAATTTGTGGCAGTATAAAGTTTCGTTTTGCATTATTTTTTATGTTTACTTAAACGCAATTACTTAAAATAAAAATTTTTTATATATACTTATATATATGTTGATGTTTTCCATTTATACTAAAATTAATTTTCTTAAATTTTTTTTTTTTTAGTTTTCGAATATAAAAAATACATTAAGTGTACATATCCAAAAAACTTTATATCCCAAAAATCAATCTGTTTTATAGAATTTTGAATTTTTTGTTAGTTGGAAAAAAATAAATTAAAAACAGATTTTGTTTTTTTTTTTTTTTTTTTTTTGAAAGATATAAACAAAAGCGATTTTTTGGGAAAATTAAATTTTCAAATTTCGGGTTTTTATATTTTCATGAATAGAATGACTCTCTTATATAATTAAAAAAAATTACAAATTAAAAACAAAATGTTTTTGTTTTTTGATATATTATTTTTAAATCGTTACACTGTGCTACAAAATTTAAATAATTTGTTAAGGATGATGTAGTTTAGAATCGAGGTTATATTGGGGGTATTCAAAATTTTAGAATTTAAAAAAAATACTGGAACTTCATTTGTATACCAAAACGTATTGAAGTGTATTCAAATCAATCAATAAAACATAATTTTAAATTTTCCCAATAGAACCTAAATTCTATTCCGCATCACCTTACAAAATAAAAATATTATTTTTTATAGTTTGTTGTTGTTTGTAGCACATTATCATTTGATATTAACATTCTTGTCCCATATCATTTTTGTTTTCCTAAAAACTAAATACACATATAAATTTTTTTATTGAATACATTAAATATATTTTTGTGTATGCATGCCTATATAATTATTGCATATATAAATTCTGTGCTTGTATTTGATGATATTTTTATACATTGAATTAATGAATGATTTTCGTTTTATCTTTGCTTTAATTTAAATTGGATTTTTTAAAAGAAAATATTATAATAATGGCGTTTTATATTAAAAAAAAATATAAAATAGATAAAGGAATGAAAGAAAAAAAGAACAAGAAAAAATGTCAAGAATTTTTACAAGTAAAATAATTATATTTATATTTGTTTTTTTTATACGAAAATTTTGAAAAATTCTTAATTATTCGTTTAAAAAAAATCTCAAAACTATTTCTATTTTTTATTTAATTTCATAAAAGTTATATAGAAATTATACTAAAAATATATAGTGTGTTTTTTTCTTGTTATTTTTAGAAAATTGAAGGAAGAAGAAAAAAATAATTATTATTTTTTATTCTTGTTGTTGTAATATTAAACTTATATATTAAGGAAAGTAAACTAATATTTGTTATTATTATTTCGTTAGGTTCTACTTCCTAACATTTATCATATTATTGTTTATTGTTGTTGCTATAGAATTTTGAAGCAGTTGAGCTGAAGTAGTGCAGCCATTGCTGTTTCGCCATCCAACTTATCAATCCCATTCACCGATATACAAGCTACGTGGTGTTGGTATATAACCCCTTGTGGGTAAAGGCAATCGTCCATAGATGTGATTATAGGGTGAATCAACCAGATCGGCATCTATATTGGGGAAAAAATGAGAAATTGGAAAATATTATTATTTTAATATTTCATTTCAAATGTTTGTAATTATTTAAAAAATTATGAAATTAAAAAAAAACGTCCAAATTGTCCAAAACTAGTTTTCAAAACAAAAATAAAGAGAAAAAAAACAAATGACAAATTTCAGTACCTGGTCTATGAATCATTATTGTACATGTGTGGGTGAAGGGTATAATACAAAGTCTGTAGTTGACTTATTTTATACAGAAGAAAATCTATACATACTTCATAAGCTATATATCATAATTATAAAAAAATAAAATAAAAAATAAATAAACAAAATAAAAATATAACACTATAATTATATAAATTTTAAAATATAAATATTTAAAATCATAGTTAATAATTTATTAAAAGGTTGTCAATCGGCATTCATTTGACTTTTTGGTGCACCATTTACTTAAAATCGGACGAAAATATATATATGAGCTATATCGAAATCTAAACCGATTTCATTGAAACTTGTCACAGGTTAAAATATAAGTTATTTCAGTATGTTTTGTACATATCGGTCACATTTTTAGATCTTGGTGCATCACTTATTTAAAATCGGGAGAAAATATATATGGTAGCTCTAACCAAATTTGAACCGATTTCAACAAAACTTTCGCAAAGGTTGGAATATTTTTTTGAACTTTGGACTTTGATATACCATTTACACTAAATCTGATAAAAATATATATGGGAGCTATATCTGAGACGATTTCCACGAAACTTAACATACATAATTCTAGACTTTATTCAGTACGATATGCCAAATTTCGTGCAAATCGAAAGATATATGTGGACCAAATATATATGGGAGATATAGGTAAATCTGGACCGATTTTCAGAAATCTAAACACACATCATTCTAGACCTAATTTATTACGCTATGGCAAATTTCGTGCAAATCGAAAGACTTTGGAGCACCATTTACATTAAATCGGAGGAAAATATATATGGTAGCTATATCTAAATCTGAACCGATTTTCAGGAAACGTAACGCACATCATTCTAACCCTAATTCAGTACACTATGCCAAATTTCGTGCAAATCGAAAGATATATTGGGACTTTTATGCACCATTTACAAAAAATCGGACGAAAATATATATGGGAGATATATGTAAATCTGAACCGATTTTCAGAAAACTTAACACACATCATTCTAGACCTAGTTCATTACGCTATGGCAAATTTCGTGCAAATCGAAAGACTTTGGTGCACCATTTACATTAAATCGGAGGAAAATATATATGGGAGCTATATCTAAATCTGAACCGATTTTTCCCAATTTCAATAGGGTTCGTCCTTTGGCCAACTAAATGACCTATGCCAAATTTCATCCAATTCGGATCATAAATGCGACCTGTACTTTGTTTACAATTTAACACAGACAGACAGACGGAAGGACATGCATAAATCGACTTAGAAAGTGATTCTATGCATATTCTCAAAAGTAATCATGTATCTATCTCGTTTTCTTTTGCGTGTTGCAAACATATGCACATAGACATAATACCCTGTACCACAGAGTGGTGAAGGGTATAATTATAGTTTCGTCCGATTTTATGTAAATGATGCCACAAACTTCCATTATTTGTCCGATTGGGACAAAATTTTGCACAGCGCACTGAATCTGGTCCATGCTTATGTGTGCGGAGTTTTGTTGGAATCGGGTCACATTTAGATATAGCTCCCATTTATGCGGATGATGCACCAAACTCCCAAAATTTCTCCTATTGGCACAAAATTTTGCACATTATTCTGAATTAGGTCCAGACTGATGTCTGCGAAGTTTGTTAAAATCGGTTCAGATTTAGAAATAGCTCCCATATATAGCTTGGTCCGATTTTTTGTGAATGATGCACCAAACTCCCAATATTTGTCCGATTGGCACAAAATTGTGCGTAGCGAATGCTATTGAGCAAAAAAAGGATGCGTGATAAGGTTTGTTGAAATCGGTTCAGATTTTGATATAGGTTTTATATATATTTCGTTCGATATATATAGTCGTGCGATTTTATGTGAATGATGCTCCAAACTCCCAAAATTTTTCCGATTGGCACAAAATTTTGCACAGAGTTCTGAATTAGGTCCAGACTGATATTTGTGAAGTTTTGTTAAAATCGGTTCGGTTCAGCTCCCATATATAGTTTCGTCCGATTTTTTGTGAATGATGCACCAGACTCCCAATATTTGTCCGATTGGTACAAAATTTTGCATAGCGAATGCTATTGAGAAAAAAATGATGCGTGATAAGGTTTGTTGAAATCGGTTCAGATTTTGATATAGGTCTTATATATATATTTCGTTCGATTTTATGTAAATGGTGGAAATTTGGCAGAGGGTATTAAATTGAATATAGTGATTACAAAAAACAAATGGTGTATGCAACGGTTTCTCAATTAGGTCCATGTTATATAGCTCCCATACATAATTTGACTCGATTTCATACAAATTGTACACCAAAGAATCCAAGTCAGTCCGTTTGACATAAAATTTTTCATTGATTTCAGAATGGTATGTATATGGGGTTTTTCAATTAGTTCAAATATTTATCTAGATAGCATACAGGATATTGTATTACCCAAAGTTGAAACATCAGGCCCCGTCCGACTGAGCTCTCCTTACTGGTTTATAATTTTTATAATTCACGCATTAATTATAAACATTTTAAATTATTAGAATTATGAATTATAAAAATTATAAATCATAATAATATTGGTATAATTTATATAATAATATAAAATAACATATAATTTTCTAATTGTATAATTTTTATGAATTAAAAATTTTATAGTCTATAATTTTAAAAATTTAAAATTTTAATAATAGTAATTACACATATTTTCTTAAATTGTTTTCAATGTAAAGTTTATAAACTAAAAAAAATCTGGAAAAAAATTTCTTTGGAAATTTCTCTCCACGAATCTTCTGGTGAATGTCCTCGGCATAACCATATGTGTATTTTACAAGAATGTTTGTACAATTTTGAAATTTGTCATTTTATTTTTGTTTTTTTTAATGTAATATTTACATGGGAATTCTAAAAAAAATGTGGTAAGGGAATTGGGTTTGAAAGGGTTTATTTTTCGAAATCATAAAGTTAGTCCAGTACCGTAATGTAATGTAACACACACAACCATACAAAAACGAGAGGGGATAATATACAACAAGGGAATATCATGGTGTTGATGGTGGTTTTGGGGAAGTCAGGGTCTATGGGTCATGATATGGGTGAGCAGTGGAAATCAGGAAATTAAAAAAAAAACAGTTTACGAAAATAAGTAAAAAGCAGCAATTGAAAACATATTTACAGCAGTTTTGAGTGAAAACCCCTACGGAATCACACTATAACGTTCCAAAAACAACAACATAACCTCAAAAACAAAAACTTAAAAACCAATTAAAAAAACCGGAACTTAGAAAAGAAAATGGAAAGGGGGAAATTGAAGGCAAACCTATTTGGGAATTTCGATTGTCGTTGTGGTGGTGGGTGGGGTTCGTTTTCAGCTAATAGTCAAGAATTTGTATCTTTTTTAGGCTTAAACTTCGTTGTTTGCGGGGTTTCAGATAGCCATAAATGGATTCCAGATCGCTTATGTCCACACGACTAGATGAACGGCTGGCACGTCCTGAATGTTGTTGGGGTGGCTGTTGCTGCTGCTGGGATGATTGTTGCTGCTTATTTTCCGAGCTAAGCTTTTGGGAGCTTTCATATTGATTCTTCTCTTGATTTTGATCCTTTGCCTTGGCGGTTTCCAAACCATTGTTATTGTTGTTGTTGTTGTTGTTATTGCTATTTTTTGTTAAATCATTTTTTTGTTTAAAATTATTCAGAAGAGTTTCGGTTTTGGTTACAACATTATTATTTAAATCAAATTGTTTATTATTGCCAGCTGGCTTATTGGAGCTTAACAAATTTTTTAAATTCATACGTTTGGCACCCCGCCACATGGGTGCTGGCACCAGGGGCTTAATTGTATCCTGACTATATGCAGGCGGTTCCTGTTGCCGCTGAACACTACTCAAATTAATTTGTGAATTAAATTTCTTGGCATTTCGAAGACCCTGACCCATTTCACCATGAATTTTGACACGATCATAGATATTTGTGGTGGAGGGAGCCTTTACAATCCGCTGACGTCCTCCATACATATAAAGTGAACCCTCTTCATTGGGTTCTTCGAAAAAGCTCTCAATCGATTGAGATTTACCACGCATTTGTAAGAGATTAGATGTGGACTTGGGTGCCTGGTTGGGAGTAGCCTTTTGGCCTTTGGTTTCATTGCCCTTTGCAGAGGCGTGCCTTTGCGGTGTGGGGGAGCGAATTTGCCTTAAACGGGCCCTATCAACATAGCCACTGTCCACGTGGCTATGCGATTGACGTCTCTCCTTCGAGGGTGATTGTTGACGATATTTGTGACGGGCGGCATGTTCATTGAATTTATGTCCCCCCTTCCCCTTGTTGGGCATCTCCAATTGTTTCTTGAAGTCCATTTGTGAGAGATTGAAATCATCCATATCATCGAAATCGTTGTTCAAATCAAAGGCACTGCTATAGTCATAGAGGCGATTGGTTTTGGGTTTCATATAGCCACTGTATTCATAGGTCTCTTCCGATTGGGAGAGATGTTCTTCACGGCCCAGCAGCGAGACATCACTGTCACTGCACCATTTGACCATACCACGTGCTTGAGAGCTGTGAGCGGAACGTTCTTTGCCGGCGGCTCCTGCCGCACCGCTAAGCAACTGATGTTGCCTCAGCTGTTGTTGACTCAAACTGCGTACCGGCCGCTTAGGTGTTGGAACCCCAAAGAGCGGTGCCAGCGTATAACAACTTACACAATTACAATTATTATCGATCTGGGTACTGGAACGGCGTGTGGGCCTTGACTGGTGGTGAGAACGGCGACGGCGTTCCATTTCCAAATCATCGCTATTGAAATACAAATCATGGGCCTTGTAGTAAAATTCCCCTGGAGCCGAACGGGTATGTGGTGCCTGATGGCGTCCACACATATACGACGAACTATGGCCCGAACGATTATGATGATGATGGTGATGATCACGATGATGGTGATGATTGGCCGACGAAGACGATGATGACGGTGGCGGCATGTGATTGTGATAAGCTCTTGGCGGATTGTAATGATGGAAATAATTGCCACCTGGTTTAATGGCCTTGTGATTATAATGCTGTTGTTGTTGCTGATGTTGTGAATGTGTTGGTGGCTGTTGAACCTGTGTAAAATTTACATTTCTTGTCTGTCCATAAATATTGTCCAAAGAGGAGTCATTTGTCGAAGAGCCCAATGGACCCATGAAATTTGTCATTAAATTGTGTCCTGTCTGTTGTTGTGGTGGTGGTGCTAATGTTGTTGTTGTTGGCAACAAATTATTATTATTGCTATTAATATTACTATTATTATTGTTGTTGTTAGGCATAGAATTAGCTATAGATGAAGGAGAAGCGGCAGAAGAAACAATAGAAGAAGTAGTAGCAGAAGAAGAGGGCAATGGTACAGCAGCAGCATTAGTAGCTGCATTGGAAGAACTATGGGACATGGCCTGAAGATTATGATGATGCTGTTGTTGTTGTAGGTGGTGGTGCTCATTACTGAAAGGTGCAAAATAATTATAAAAATTCGCTGGACCCATAGCGCTGGGTCCACCAACACTGGGATGATAAAACATTCCAGCAATTGTGGCAGTTGCTGTTGCCGCCGCATTCCCATTTGTCAGTCCCAGCGATTGGTGTTGCTGATGTTGTCGTGTCCCGTCTGTACTATTACCACTAATAAAAGTCGTCGTGGCAGTCGCTGTTAAGGCGGCTGCAGCAGCTGCGGCTGCCGCTGCTGCTGTTGGTGCAGAGGCGGCTGCCGCTGCAGCTGTGGTCGCTGTCGCAGTCGTTGCAGAAGCTGTACTATGTTGTTGTTGTTGATGATGAAAATGTGATTGTTGTTGATGCTGTTGTTGTTGTTGATTATTATTATAAATACCTATGCCACTTTCATAGCTGCGCGTGTGCCACATTTGTTGCGCATGCGCGTGTGCATGTGCATGATGATGCATTGGGTGTGAGTGCTGTTGTTGTTGTTGCTGTTGTTGGGCAACAGCCTGTGCCGCAGCTGCAGCCATCATTTGTTGTTGCTGTATGTGATGTGGGTGCATGTGTGGCGGTGCCGGAGCATGCATTGCCGGATGCATGGGCATCATGATTGAAGTCTTCTTTTGATTGTTGGTCAAGGTGTTCATTGCGCTAGCTGGCACAACACCGTTGCGATGTTCATGTTCTTTGGCCGATTTCGAGGAGGATTTCACAAAATTGGGTACGCGTGCACGCAGGCCACAATAGTAGGGATCATCTACGGGAAGAAACCAAAAATAATAAAAATATTAGTAAAACATATTCGGAAAAGAAAATAAAATTAATGACAAATTCTGAAGGGCACTAAAGGGAATTATGGGTGCTGGCAACAGGGGCTTAATTGTATCCTGACTATATGCTGGGGTTTCCTGTTACCAATCAAATACAATTGTGAATTAAATTTCTTGACATTTTGATTTCTTGGCATTTGATTTCACCACGTATTTTGACACGATCATAAATATTGGCGGTGGAGGGGGCCTTAACAATTCACTGCCGTCCTTCATACATATAAAGCGATAGCTTTTCATTTGCTATTTCAAAAACACTCCATCGATTGATATACCACGATTTGTCTCTGAGAGACACTAAAGGGAATTTCGAAATAAATTTTCTGGAAGGTCTTTAACAGTAAACGAAAAAATAAAAATCTATTAAAACCCACAAATGAAACGTACGCGGATCAATACCCAAATGAAAAATACGGAGTAGTTCAGGACAGCAAAAACCTCAGTTAATAGAAGAGGCCTTAAAATAAAGAATGATGCGACAATCCTATAGGCATTCGGAAAATTATTTCTTAAAAGATCCGTTCATAGAAGTCGTTCTAATTATATAATTTCTAATAGGTCTATTGGAGGTTATTGCTACTTTTGCCAAAATACTTCATGGAGTCTTATGTGATTTTTTCGAGGTGTTGCAATCGGAGTAACAACTTTTATATTTATTCCCTCTGGTGGTGAAAAATATAAAAAAGTAAAAAGTCATCAAATTCGACAGTGACAATCTTTTTGAGGATCGAATAAATACAAATTCTAGTGGTACCATTTATTGAAACTAATTTTTAATATCGGCCAAACATTGACTTAACAAACATATATACCTTTTTACCTTTTAAAAAGTCGACTGGGACCCTCAAAATGTCCAGAATGGATGTGGAGCCTTTATGTAAGGGCTACTTGAAATAATAGACCTATTTAGAAAGTATTTTTGGTGGAGGTGTGGTGGAACTCTGTTACACATTAAGATAGCAAAAAGTTTTTAAAAATGTGCCAAAATATTCAGATCATATGGACGATACGACAAGTATTTACCTATCAAGCAAATTGTCTGTGGAGATCCTTAACACTATGCGAATGCAAAATTCCAGCCACATCGGTTGGAAAAAGCGTCTAGGATCCCTATAATACTGTGCATAGGACGGGTCTTTTATATTGGAGTTCACAGCGACCTTTACGACCGCATTTTTTTTTAGAAAATACGGCCATGACCCTTTAAAATATCCCAAATGGTGTTTAACCTATATTGAAAAAATCCTGAGCGTGTGTCATCTATCCAAGAGAACCCGATGTCCCCCATTTCATTTCATCAAATCGATTGGAAATTGAACTGTTCAAAATCATTTACAATATATTAGTATGGGGGAAAGAGAAATCCATTATTTTCATATGCACTATAGGACTTTATTTAACATGCTTTGGAATATCCGATTATGGCCAAATATGCACCGTTTTGTTTTATGATTTGTTGCCATTTTAAAGGTAGGGGGTCATAATGCGTCTCTCATAGAGGTCCTTCTCTCTATTTGCAAAAAACTCTAGTAGTCGATTTTCACAATCCTCCCTAGATACCTATTTTTTATACCCTTCACCACACTGTGGTACAGGGTATTATGTCTTTGTGCATATGTTTGTAACAGGCAAAAGAAACGAGATGGACCGATGGTTCTTTTTAAGAATATGCATAGAATCACTTACTGAGTCGATTTATGCATGTCCGTCTGTCCGTCTTTCCGTCCATGTATTTTTGTGAGCAAAGTACAGGACGCATTTATGATCCGATTTGGATGAAATTTGGCACAAGTCATTTATTTGGCCCAAGGACGAACCCTATTGAAATTGGGAAAAATCGGTTCAGATTTAGATATAGCTCCCATATATATTTTCGTCCGATTTGAGGCAAATGGGGCACAAAAGTCCCTCTATATCTTTCAATTTGCACGCAATTTTGCACAGAGTACTGAATTAGGTCCAGAATGATGTGTGCCAAGTTTCGAGAAAATCGGTTCAGATTTAGGTATTGCTCTCATATATAGTTTCTTCCGATTTAAGGTAAATGGTGCACCAAAGTCCCTACATATCATTTGATTTGCATGAAATTTGGCATAGGGTACTGAATTAGGTGCAGAATGAAGTGTGCTAAGTTTCGTGAAAATCGGTCCAGATTTAGACATAGCGCCCATACATATTTTCGTCGGATTTAAGGTAAATCGGTCTCCAAAGTCCCTATATATCTTTAGATTTGCGCGAAATTTGGCATAGGGTACTGAATTGGGTCCAGAATGGTGGGTGCTAAGTTTCGTGAAAATCGATCGAGATTTAGATATAGTTTCCATATATATTTTCGTCCGATTTAAGGTAAATCGGTCTCCAAAGTCCCTATATATCTTTCGAAGAAATTTTGCAATGAATTCTCAACCAAGCTCCGGAAGTTTCTGGCGAGTCACTGTAGATGTGTGTGGCCTAGCGTTGTCCTGGTGGAACTCGACCCTCTCCGGTATACCTGTACGAGGTGCATCCTTAACATCAAAAATTCCTGAACGGAATCTACGAAACCAAAATTGCACATAATTGGTTTTTACAGTATCGGAATTATAAACATCATTCACAATTTTAGGCGCTTGGCTTGCATTTTCGCCTTTGTCAAAGAAAAACTGTAAAATGTATCGATTTTTCTATTTGTTCACTTCCATTTTTAACACCCTGTAACTCACAACTGAATGCACCAAATAAAAAACTTCAATATAATTTTTTACTGCGAAACGTCACACTTCCAACGAACATAAATCTGAAATTGATTGATCGATACTTTACGAGAAATCTATCAGTACAACCATCTGCCGAATAAAAAATTGATCTATTTTTTCCAACTTAATATTTACTATAAATAGATCGAGCTTGAATTTGGGACTCTACTTCTGATACCTTCCCACACAAAGTGTCAACATTTTAAAAATTTATCAAGTAAATATAAAGATAATGTCTGATTTGATGCAAAAACAACATAAAATTTTTCCGAACCTATATTTATAGGTCCACATTGTACGCATATCCCCTATATATATTCATTATGTCGGAAGTTGTAACCACACATTCAAAAATCGATCGCTATATATATAGTAATATTCCAATTGAGGTTTAAAGAATATTGCAAATAGATTGCAATATTCTTCTGGTGGTGGATATAAAAAGTTCGGTCTGACCGAAAGATTAGAAAATTATTTAATTATACCCTACACAACTATGTTGTCAGGGTATTATAGCTTTGTGCACCCCCAAAAGTTTGTAACGCCGCAAAATATTGGTCCTAGACCCACCTTTAATTATACCGATCGTCATATCTCCACTAGCTGAGTCGATCTAGACATGTGTGTCCGTCCGTCTGTCCATTATAATTTGTAAACACGATACAGGCCACAGTTATGGACCAATCTTCACGAAATTTTGCATGTAGTTTTGGTTCTGGCCAATGAAGACCCCTATTGGTAAAGATTTGGTAAAGATCGGTTAATATTTAGGGGATGAAATGGACCAAATACTAAATTTTTATCGGTTTTTGTGGTCGCTCCAGAGGCCGCAATAATGGCCCGAATATCGTGAAATTTTGCATGGAGAAGGGGATCGGGCCAAAGAAGATCGGTCAATATTTAGCGGGTCAAATGGACACTGACTTTTGTGTGAAAAATGACAAAATTTGTATTCAATAGCGTATATATTTACCCCTGAAGGATATTATATCCAAGACGAGAGGTTGGCCTTTAAATTAATACCAATTATATTGTTGCATGTCCTCGGATGTGGGAGTTAAACCTAAATATTTACAGGTATCTCCGTATTCGTATATTATTTAGTAACCCATTATCACTATAGAGATCGGAACTATAGCGCTGATCGCTTTGAACCACAAATGAAAGCCGAACATCACAACACAACCCACGGTGAAGGGAATCTGCACAATAGCTGTACTGAATACTCGTAATATCCGGAAAATATGACAGTGTGAGGAAGAGGTGCTGTTTACATCTAATCGGGCAAAAGGGTGCAAATATCACGAAATATTGCCCAAGCTCGAAATAAACATCCGCAGAAAATTTGAGTTCCGTGGTAGTTGTGTAGGGTATCGTATGGTCGGCCCTGTCCGACTATACTGCTCCTCTCACTGGTATTACTATATATCTCGTGATGTCTGGATTGTATGTATATTTAAAGGAAGCAATAACGCCTTCATAGGTTTATGGTACCCTATCCACGAAATTCAATATATGAAAACCTATAAATATTCAAAAACATAGCATACAACATAAAATGATTAAATTTTATAACCAACGGAGATGTGGACCAAAAAATTACAACAACAAAAATATATTAGAATATATGGACACAATAACAAACTTTCAACACAATTCCATACATAAATATCTGACTTGACTATATTGAATGACACTATGAATATTATTTTGCAAAACTATTGAATGGTGGTGGAGGTGGTAGTGTTTGAAATGAATATCTGTTTGGAGTTTTTTTTTCTTTAATGATATTATTAAATCAATGCCATTCACTTTGCATATGGACCATAGCACACCCTCTCTTTATGCTGTTGTCGATTTTCTTTTTTGGTTTTTGGGGAGATCAGATAGCAGACCAAGCTAACATAATGGCCTAAAAGATTGAGGTTTTTCTTTTTATTTGCAATTGTACTGCAATGAACCCAAGGATTGAATAACTGACTAAGAAGAAAAAAACAGCAAAACACAAAATATTATAGCCAGGTTATTGTTTTGGTTGACTGACTAACCCAATGCCGTCAATACTTGCAACTACTATGGCAAATCAGTAATGGTCAGTACAAGTCTTTTTGAAATACAAATCTAAATTTTGTAATCTAAAACCATGGCTAGATGTTGTTGATGACTTGTGCTGTTGATCCATAAATAAATCTATATAATGCACGAATCTATTAAAATTTATTATGAATATTATGAGCGGTTTAATTCAAAGTTTTGCGAAAAGCAACAATATTTTGTATGGCTTTTTTGAAGTACAACATGAGTAATATGACATCGATTTTTTGTGTTCCAATATATCCTAAATAAAAATGGAAAAAATCATCCAACTCATAGTGCTCTAATCTGAAACATTGTTGTGAAAAGTAAAACCCAGACAATTGCTTAATAAATAGCCAAAAAATCTCCCTATTCTGCCATACTTCGTATATTTGTCTTTGAATTGTGTTGTAATACCTAGTGAATATTCCTTGCATGTGTTTTTTTTTATTAAGGTATGCTAATATATTTTGCCATATTCGAATATCGTATTTTTGGGTTGGGTTATGGTTATGACTGTATTACAACACACAGCCGCCTACAATAGTCGTCGAAGTTCCTGGCATTTGAAACAATTGTAAGACAGTTGTTTGTGTGTTGTTTTGGCAACTGTTCGGCTGTAGCTCTCTTGTACTTACCATATTTCTTATTGTCTTTGCCTTTATCTGATTTGCCACGTGACAATTTAATACGAGTATCCACTTCGATGTCATCGTAGTCAGGCTGAAAAAATAGAAAATACAAAAAAATATTAAATATTTGGTAAAATGTGAAAAACTATTAATTGATTGGTTAATTATTGAGGTTATTAATGTTAACAAGGAACCAATAAGCAAAAATTGTAGTGGGACGGATCTGACATGTGTAATTTTACACATCTGGACTAAAACGGGCAAAAGTAAACACAATATATATTGCTACTTTGGAGTGTATACCTAAAATAACTTATATAAAAGAAGCTCCAAAGACGCTACATATCCGATGTCCATTAGTCTATCCAGAAGGAGTGTTTGTGTGGATAATTACCTTCGGACTTGATCTGGGGTTGGTATAGATAATAGGATGTTTGGTTCAATTTGGACATTCCATTCGCCTGATATTGGATTTGTAAATATTGAAAATTTTAAACAATTTAAAAAATCAAACCAATTTTTTTTGCGGCTATAGCAGGGTATTTTTTGGATGATATATCTGCAGTCAAATCGAATGAGGAATATTCTTCTAAAACATATGCTAGTTCTATCTCGTGTCCTTGTGCGTCATTCTACTTGTTGACCGCTAAAATGTCCCTCATAAGATTTTGGTTTCATCGTTTCTATAATAAAATCAGTCTCAAAAATTTAGATATCCGTTATTTTTGTTTGTTTTATCGAGTCGCTTTAGGGGTCTAATCACCATGATATTTTACTTGGCCTCCTCCCCGTGCCATTTGATGATAGTCGGTCAATATTTAGCTTTCACGTTGTTCGGGTCATAATTATGATTTTGATAACAGGCTCAAATATTGTTTTTGATCTCAAAAATAAATAAACGGTAATTCAAGCAACTAAACCTAAGCGGACCGACCCAAGACATAGAAGAAAATGTAAAAAAGATTGTGGGGTAACAATAAATGGGTACTGTAATATACCTTCATATAGTTTTTTATAGGATTTACGCCCTCAAATTGCAAATTTTTGCTAGGAGGTTTTTATCCTAAGATCCTTTAAATCTATCCTTTAAATACTAAAAAGGAGAGAACCTGTGAGAACTACAAATTCTAAATTACAGACATTTCATTTGGAAAATTATGCAATGTCTTTCAAAATACCAAAAATTGGATCAGACCTTTTTTGGTCAAGGTTCTATATTGACAATTTGAGATGGGAAGTCATTACTCTCAATGAACCGAAAATTACGTTTGCAAAGTGACGCGAGGGCTTTATATGGGACCATTAAACAGTTGAGAACTTATTTATGCAATTTTAAAAACCAAGTCGCAATGGATAGTCTATGCATGTGCAACATTTTAAAGACCTATCCTAAATATTGAGAGATTTATTTTAATTTTAACATGAATTTTACATGGACTTGGTTCAATTGTCAGTGAATTTAATTCTGTTTTTGATTTTTATACTCAATGGAAAGTAACAATTTTTGAATAATTCCATGCGGCTTTCGTAAAAATACTCTTTCGAGAAAACGAGTTTTAAATATCGGGGGTGCTCTCGACATCTCTGGTATATTTCGAAGATTTTTAAATTTTATTGGGGTCACTTTGTTAATCGATATTTGTTCAAACTAGGTTATGTTTAGCCCGAATGAACTTTTTACCTATCGGGACATTTATACTATCACAAATAAACATTCTTTTAAAAACATATATTACAGAAAATGGGACCTGGCATTTATGTGTGGCCTATATAGACAATTGTCACAAAATTCTTCAATAACCATGGTAAAATGCGACTAAAACTTCAAAATATTGACAATGTCAGCTTTCAAGAACAATTTATACCAAATAAGAGCCACAACGGTGGGAGAATGCGGCTAAAGACTTTACAATACGGAAAATGGATCGGTACCGTTATATTGGAGCTATACCAAAAACATAAACGGATGTCTATAATTTTTGGTAGGGACATTTAAGACCCCATAAGAACTTGAAAAATAAAGTAAGTGTCAATTCGGTTGCAAAACGTGCCCAAACTCCTTAAAATGCCGAATTAGGGGGCTACCCGGAAACGTGGTGCTTTGTTTGCTTTGGATTGGCCGATGATTACCAAAATTTCAGAGAATTTAAATTAAGGACCGTAGTATCTAAAAACGTAAAGAACTTTAAAACATGCTAAGTCGACTTAGCATACTATGGTTCGGAGGCGTCGATATGAACTATAGGTATTTATTTAACATGCTTCGGAATTTCCGATTTAGGCCAAATATGCACTGTTTAATTGTATGATTTCTTGCCATTTTAAATGTAACTTCATAATGCCTCTCTCATAGAAGTCCTGCTATCTATTTGCAAAACAATCTAGTAGTCGATATTCACAATCGACTCTAGATACAATTTTTTTTATCATTAAAGAATTTTTTCAATGCAAGAAAAAGAAGAAGATAATCGCTCGGTTTCAAGTCCGGATTGTGTGGCGGATGCATTAAATCTTCCCAACCGAAGTTTCCGAAGTTTCTGGAGAGTCACTGTAAATGTGTTTGGCCTAGCGTTGTCCGGGTGGAACACGACACCTCTCCTTTTGGCCAATTCTGACCGTTTCTGGTAAAATGTAAATGGTTTAAAACAGTTTTATGGTCGATTTTTAGCTCCTGGGGGAGGGGCTGACATGCCGGCCAACTTCGATCATTTCTCCGATTTTATCGACATTTTCGATGACCGGCCTAACTGTGCGAGGTCCATCTTTAAGATGCATCTTTAACATCAAAAATTCCTGAACGTTATCTACGAAACCAAAATTGTTTATAATTGGCTGTTACAGTATCGGAACCATAACCACCATTCACAATTTTAGCCGCTTGGCTTGTATTTTCGTCTTTGTCAAAGAAAAACTGTAAAATGTACCGAATTTTCTCTTTGTTCACGTCTATTTTTAACACCCGGCAACTCACAACTGAATGCACCAAACAAAAAACAGCAAAATAATTTTTTTTTTACTCCAATATGTCATCCTTCCATGGAGCATAAATTGGAAATTGTTTGATCGATACTTTACGAGAAATCTATCAGTACAGCCATCTGGCGAAAAAATAATGGATTTCTTTTTGCCCAACCTAATATATATCATGAACAAAAATGTATATTTTATATGAGTTTTATTTTCGTGTACGTTCGAAACCACAAAATTGATAACCTTGCATAATAAGTCTTTAAAAATAACGGTTGAAACTTTATTCAACAATACCAAATGTATTAAAAAACAAACATTAAAATACACCTGTTTTATAATGGAAATATATAAATAAAACAATAAACAAAAACTTAACTGAATCTTGAAAAGAAAAAACTAAACATCAAAACTAGTAATACCATATTAATTGAAATAACATATCAATATTCCATAATTGACATACAGAAACGGCAACTAAGCAAGTGTTAATAACAAACGAAGCTATATAACAAACTATTTCAATACTGCAATTAAAACACAAAATACAAAAGCAACTTCAATTAGTTTAATTGTTTTTGTTTTTCTGTTTTAATATAGGGGTGTTTACCCATAAATCTCAAGGTACTTTGAACGGGTCGAGAGAGTTAGCAATAGGGGTACTCAGAGATGGCAGGTATTTACAAATAGTTTAACACGTATACACCAAATAATAGATTTCAGAAATAAAGAACGAAATCATAACATGTAATGTTAAATCGCGTGTAATTAATATGCAAAGAATGCAGAATTCTTTTATTTTTCTTGGTCGAGTTTGTTTCAATAGCTACCATTGTTGTTGTTGTTGCAAACAACACTGACATACATACATCCATGCCAGCAAACTCGTGAATGTTGTTATTATTACAACAAGAAGTTGAGCCAAGCAAAAAAAAAAGTGTAATAAATTTTGTTACGATTTCAAGCAAGCCCAGCCAAAGCCCCACCTGAAAACCACCGCCTGCCTTTGCCTTCGTAATGGTTAAATACCAAAGCCAAGCAAGGTAACCAAGAATAAAAAGCAAAACAGAAACCACAACACAAATCAATTGAACAAGAAAAAAATATTTTTTATGGCATTTTTGTGTGTGTGTGTGTGTGTGTGCATAACTCCAGTGCTTGTTGCTTAAGTCTTTTGTTTGCTGGTGCAAAATATTGCAGCATTGTGATGCTGCCAGTAGCCAATGTGACAACAATGCGAACAACATATGACATTTTGTTATTATGTCTTTGTTAAGATAAAACCGATATAGGTACACAGATGTATGTACAAGTTTTTTTTATTGGACACTATATCATGGGGGTATTATATATATAAAAAAATAAATATATAGAGAGAGTGGGGGAGTTATGACGTAATAGGAATTTATAAAATATTCTGTTGGTATCATGTGATCTATTAAAAAAATTATAATTAGAAAATACTTAAACTTCTAAAATAAATTGGTATGCGAAGATTTATTGGAAATTTTGACCACATTATTGAAGGATCAGATTACAGCTAAATCTGTTTGAAAATGTTACTAGAACAAACATTTATAGGCCACACTATAACATAGAGTTTACATTTCTGGGTTAAAAATACTCTTCCAGAACACTAAACCAGTGAGCGGAGCTGTATAGTCGAACGGTGCCGACGATACCGTACACAACTACCACGGAAATGGAACTTTCTGTGGATGTTTATTCCGAGCCTGGGCAATATTTCGTGATATTTGCATCCTCTTGCCCGATTAGAGGTAAACAGCACCTCTTCCTTACACTGACATATCTTCCGAATATTACGAGTATTCAGTACAGCTATTGTCCAGATTCCTTTCACCGTGGGTTGTGTTGTGATGTTCGGCTTTCAGTTGTGGTCTATAGATCGACTCGAAAATAACACAAAAAATTAAGTTATCGGTCCACTTCATTCGAAAATTATTATCTGATCATCACTGAAAATTATAGGCGTTGTCCTTGACCATAGCTGGAACCTCATGGAACATTTCAAAGCGATCAGCGCTATAGTTCCGCTCTCTAGAGTGATAATGGGTTACTAAATAATATACGAATACGGAGATAACTTTAAATATTTAGGTGTAACATCCACATCCGAGCACATACAACAATATAATTGGTATTAGTTTAAAGGTCAACCACTCCTCTTGGATATAATATCACCTTCTCGGGTCTATGTCCTTCAGGGGTAAATATATACGCTATAGAATACAAATTTTGTCATTTTTCACACAAATGTCAGGGTCCATTTGACCCGCTAAATATTGACCGACCATTATAAAAACAGGCATGCTTATTCTTTGGCCCGATCCCCTTTCCAGCCAAAATTTCACGATGTTCGGGCCATTATTGCGGCCTCTGGAGCGACCAGAAAAACCGACAAAAATTTAGTATTTGGTCCATTTCATCCCCTAAATAGTAACCGATCTTTCCCAAAAACAATAGGGGTCTTCATTGGCCAGAACCCATCCTACATACAAAATTTGGTGAAGATTGGTCCATAACTGTGGCCTGTATCGTGTTTACAAATTATAATGGACAGACGGACAGATGGAGGGACGGACGGACACACATGTCTAGATCGACTCAGCTAGTCGAGATATGACGATCGGTATACTTAAAGGTGGGTCTAGGACCAATATTTCGCGGCGTTACAAACTTTTGGGGCTGCACAAAGCTATAATACCCTGACAAAATAGTTGTGTAGGGTATAAAAAACCCCTAAAAATGACTTTAAATAAATCAGGGCTCAGATTAGGTAAAATTAAAAAAACAAGTAAATACGTAGTTAAGTTCGCACGAACCGAACTTCACCAATCCTTTATATGGACCTTTATATGGGGTCTATGTTATTGAACTATGTGGTGGTAGTTTGTTCATACACTTAAAACATTTTTCAAATTATGGACACTCAGATTGTAAACCTAAGGTAGGAGATTCGTCGTACGAAAATTTAACAGGACATTTGTATGGGGACTTTTTTAAAATATTAAGTTTTATTGAAAAATTAGCCTTCAGTATCTATATTAGAACTTGAACCTATATTGACAATTTCCCACAGAAAAGTGTTTTGCCCTCCAATATTCCGGAATGCCAAATTACAGCCATCACAAGGAAAACATGTGGCAAAAACATTAAAAAAAAATTATAATGCAGCCTTCAAAAACTCTTTATAACAAATTACAGCCACATCGGTGGGAAAATGCTGCTATGGTCTATGGTCAAAGTACCGAAATTGGGTTGCTATCGTTATATGGGAGCTATACCAAAACGTAAACCAATATTGATAATTTTTGGTAGGGAAATTTGAGACCCCATGAGAATCTGCAACATCAGATTAGTGTCAGTTCTGTTGAAAATCTTGCCTAAACTGCTGAAAATACCAAATAAGGGGCTACCAGGCAACCAGGTCCAATATTTGGTATTGGTCCAATATTCCGCAAAATGTCGACCATTATTGACAATTTTAATAGGAAGATTTATATCTAGTGAGAACCCAAAATAAAAAAAATTGTAAACAAAATCTTCAAAGTATCGAATATTAGGAAGTACAGCTAAATAGGGACTACCCGGAAACATTGATAATTTTATGGGGAAATTTGTATACCCTCAGCTTTATGGTTAAGATAAGATGTAGATACCCTCACAATTTTAATACGGGAAAATGTGCCTATCGAAATATTGTTTTTTGACCCCACGATTCTTTGGACCAAATCCGTTTCACATAATTTTGGAGTCTATTAATAAATATCCGGCTGTCTGGACAGCTAGCCGAGCGCACCATAAGTTGCGAAATGTTTAAACGATTTCATCTAAAAATCCAAACCTTAGTCAACTTCGAAGATGAGGAATATCTGCCCACTGCTTCCGATACCTCCCACACAATACGGTCAAAATTGTGCAAAAAATTAATTTTATTAGGTTGGGGAAAAAGAAATCCATTATTTTTTCGGCTAATGACTGTACTGATAATACTGAAGTTGACCGACATGTTAGCAGTCGTAACATCGTCCAGCAGCTAAAAATCAACCATAAAATTGTTTTAAACCATTTACACAAAACTGGATTCAAAAAGAACCTCGATATTAACAGAAAAAATAGGAAGGATCGATCTGCGAAGCCTTGGCCAAACGGAATGAGATAGGCCCATTTCTTGAACGGATAATGACTGGAGATGAGAAATGGATCACATACGGCCAGGAAGGTTCTGCTATGCATTTGGTAGGACTGGAAGGGGATTATTTATTATGAGTTGTTTCCATATGGACCAACGCTAAATTCTGATTTCTACTGTCAACAACTGGACCGATTGAAGGTAGCTATTGACCAGAAACGGCCAGAATTGGCCACGAGCAGAGATGTAGTGTTCCACCAAGACAACGCTAGGCCACACACTCATCTACAGTGACTCGCTAAAAACTTCATCTTTTTCTTGCATTGCAAAATTTCTTTAATGATAAAAAATTGGTTGGTATCTAGGGAGGATTGTGGAAATTGACTACTAGAGTTTTTTTTGGCAAATAGAGCGCAGGACTTCTATGAGCGAGGCTTTATGAAGTTACCTTTAAAATGACAACAAATCATATAACACAACGGTGCATATTTGGCCCAAATCGGACATATAAAAATAATGGATTTCTTTTTCCCCAATATAATATAATATCATGCGAACGAACTATCCGATTTGAATTAAACTTTCCGCAATCTAATATCTTTACCAACTTCAAAGATCGGATCAACTTTAAGATAGGACCCATTTGTCCTCTCCTTATGGTACCTCCATCACAAATGGTAACAATTTTCAATATTTATGAATCTCATCTCTTTTTCGGTTTATCATTTTTATAAGAGATATATGATTAATTTTGATAAGAGATCCTTTCAAGAACTTATTAATTTTGAGTATTTTTTTATTTTGAGGACAATTTTCTTCTGAACCCCGCACTTCAAATTGTTGTTCGATTTATTTCATTGTAGATACAATTTAATATAAATTCCAATTGAACTCACCTTCGGTATATCATGTGTTGTCCCGTATATACTATCTCTTGGTGGCAATTTTGGCGGTTTTTCACTACGCTTAAGTGCCATTTGTTGTGTTTGTTGTTGCAACAGCAATTGTTCTCGAGTGGCCGGGCCATGACCATTGAGGCCGCCTGCCATAACACTGCCATTATTCAACAGAAGATTTCCATTGCCACTGACGCCGCCACCATTGCCGTTTGTCATAGATTGTGATTGCGATTGTTGTTGTTGCTGCTGCTGTTGTAGTTGTTCACGTTGGTGCATTTGCAGTTGGCCATTATGACCGGACATCATGCTACCCATGCCACTAGCACCGAAACCAGAGCTACCCGAACTGCCGCCACTGCCATTGCCAGCAACACTGTAAGGATCCTCATCGGGTATGGGTATTCTAGGACGATTTTTAATATCAACCAAGGGTCGTTGAACTGTAAGAGAAAAAAACAAAGAGAAAACAGCTTTACTTAAAAACCAAAACAGCAGCTGAAGTAGAAGAAAAAAAAAATAAATCAATTACAATTTTTTGTGATTGTCATGCGTATTCCGCCGATATGACTTTGACCAAGCATTACAAAAATTGCGTTACTCCTAAGCCACGTTACTCCATTTCAATGTTTTATTGCTGTTCAAAGACCAAAATGTCTTCAAAGGTTTCTAGTTCAAAAAAATACAACAACTACGGCCTGCTCTTATGGCCTTTTGACTACTTCGCATTTAGTTGTGTTGTTGTTGCATTCGCTTTCAATTATTCATTGAAATATGATTGCGGCCTAAGCTTTAAATGCAAATTTTTCACTTCTTTATGGCCCTTTGCGATTATTGACACAACAATTGGCGGCCGGAATTCAAAGACCAACAACAATTGCAAAATGTTACAATTCATGTTCAAACGCAAAATGACATTTGAAAATGAAAGCTGGGTTCGTTGCAGGTATTATTTGTGGCATCTAGCTCCAAGTCTTGATTGTTTTTTGCGTATAGACCACTCCGCCGCTCTGGCAAAGATTGAATCTTTGAAGATGAAGTATTGAAATTTTGTGATTTGGAGGATTGTCGTCTAATAAATTCCTCTTTTTTGAAACTTTTAAATATTTCAAATTTATTGGAAAATAATTGTAGATAATTTTGGATATAATAACTTATGTTTGGGGAAACACCCCTAGGTGTTTAAAGGAGTTATCAATCACTTTATTAACTAGTGTCTACTGGTTTGTATTATTAGAATTAAGAATTTGAAAATTGAGCCTCCTAAAATTATGCTTTGATTTTAACGAATAATTATACCCTACATAACTATGTTGTAAGAGTATTGTAGATTTGTGTGGACACAAGACTTCATAGTTCCGCGAAATATTGATCCTAGATCCAATTTTTAGTAAACCTTGACGATCGGTATACTAATCTCAACTAGTTGAGTCGATGTAGACATGTGTTCATCAGTTTGTTCGTTACGATTTGAGCAAGCCACAATTATGGACCTATCTACACGAAATTTTGCAGGTAGGTTCGACTTTCATTTGTTGTGTTTGGATGGTGGTAATTGCACTCTCGCGAGAGTAAATATCACTATTCTCTTACACACATTTAACTGAACCAATTGAAAAACCATTGGCACACACACAAAGACAAATGCGTGAGAACAATTTTTTTTATGCTCTGCCCGACCCTGTTCTAGAGGTTACAATTACCACCCGAATATGAATAAGTTATACACGGAGAAGGAGATTTGTCCAATGTGTAAGCATGACTGTTTTCAAGATGATCGGTCAATACATAATGGGTCAATTGGACCAAGACTTTTGTGTGAATAATTAGAAAACTTGCGTTCTATAGAGGATATATTTACTCCTGTAGGACATAGACAGATGAAGTTGACAGTATATCTAAGAGGAATGTTTGACCTTAAAATTGATACTCTTTATATTGTTGTATGCACTTCGGATGTGGAAGTTATACGAAAGTATTTACAGGGGACTGCCATTTCTGATGTTATTTAGTATTGCAACTACCACATTAGAGGGCGTAACATTGAAGTTCCGGTTATGGTCAAAGACGACGCCTACAGTTTTCGATGGTGGTCAAATAATATTTAGGGTATGAAATGGACCGAAAAAAATATTTTTGCCTTCTTAGGTCACAATTAAGGCATTGCGTGGCTGTTTGGAAAATTATCGGACTATATTAGCGGATTTAATAAACCAAGTTTTTTGTGTGTAAAATAACAAATTTTGAATTGGAAATTTGCGTAGGATATCATATGGCCGGCCCTTCCCACTATACTGCTCAGCTCACTGGTTTTAGTTGTGTGTTTATTTGACAATTTTTAATTTTTGAAATATTTTTTTACGTGTAATATTTGATTTCAAAAAATAAGATTCTTGTACAGATCAATTTATGTCTAGGACATCTATATCCAAACGGGGACATATTAAATGCAATACATATTGGGAATAAATGCCTATTTACACTGTACGCCAAAATGGAGCTAATAGTCTTATGGTGATGACACCCTATATACATATCATTTGGCATAATTATATCTACTTATGGTAAATATTTCAGGCGATTCCGACAGTTCTTCATAATCTTCAATTTATATGTGTACGGAAATATAAGGTTTCCTGATCAAGAATATACATTTTTTGTCCTTGAGGATCCAATCTAAAATCTTATGAGGGATATTTTTGTGTAGAACCAAGTTGGAAGTAGGGAAGATCTTCATCGATTGGATTGATCCTAGGTTATACGATAGCTATGTAAGTCCAGAACAGATTCTTGTACAGATCAATTTATGTCTAGGACATCTATATCCAATCGGAGACCTATTAAATGCAATACATATTGGGAATAAATGTCTATTTACACTGTACGACAAAATGGAGCTCATAGTCTTATGGTGATGACACCCTATATACATATCATTTGGCATAATAATATCTACTTATGGTAAATATTTCAGGCGAATCCGACAGTTCTTCATAATCTTCCATTTATATGTGTACGGAGATATGAGGTTTCCTGAGCAAGAATATACATTTTTTGTCGTTGAGTATCCAATCTAAAATCTTATGAGCGATATTTTTGTGTAGAACCAAGTTGGAAGTAGGGAAGATCTTCATCGATTGGATTTATCCTAGTTTATACGATAGCTATGTAGGTCCAGAACATCGTGCTACAATTTGGAACCGATTGGATTAATAGTTTTTGAGTTATCGTGCCCGGCAATCGTAAAAACGCTGTTTCGAGAAAAATTCTAAACTCTCTCGTCGTCGCTTGATACTGACACAATAAATCGTCTATAGCTTCAACAGTTGTTGAGATTATCAGTTGAAATTTTAATGAGAAGTTCAAGGTTCATATTAAATATAAATAATTTTTTTTTTTTTTTGAAAACCAATTCAATATAACACACCATAATACACTCCACCATAAATTTGTCATTTGCAATAATCGAAATAATCGTCGAAGACCTCAAAAAATATGTGTACAATCTTGATAAAGTATGATCTGAATACAAGTCTAAAGTCGATTTAGCCATCTCCGTATTTCTGCTAAAGATCGCAATGTTAAAGATTGAACTTAGCAATTTTGTACTGACATTGCTTTTAATCCCAGGAATTGCAAATGTGGTATATTGGACTACGTTTTAGTATAGATATACGTATGAGAGCCAGTCTAACTTTGGGTATTTTGAGGGTTATATGCGGAGGCTGAGGCCATATTTTACAAAGCCCCGTATAAAGTTTCCACTTAATTTTCGGTGTTTTGAGGATTTTGTCTCGCTTTCCAAAAGAAAAATTTGAAATTTTGAGGCTTTGGAGGCTGGCATACATCTATGCAGAAATTATCAAAATAAGTCCATGTTATGACATGCGGGCATCTCGTCCAATTTCCGGTATTTGGTATTTTTTAGTCGCATTTTTCAACCGATAGCGTTGTAATTTGGCATATCTGTCCCGAAGTTTCTGGAGTTGGGGAAAAAGAAATCCATTATATTTATATGAAATATAGCATCGTTTTGTTGTATGATTTGTTGCCATTTTAAAGGTAACTTTATAATGCCACTCTCATAGAAGTCCTGCTTCCTATTTGCACAAAACTCTAGAAGTCGATTTTTACAATCTAGATACCATAGATAGATACAATAGATACCAATTTTTATTTATCATTAAAGAAGTTTTGCAATGCAAGAAAAATATGATAATCCCTTGGTACTAAGTCATCACTGGATGGCGGATGCATTAAAACTTCCCAACCAAGCTCCCAAAGTTTATGGCGAGTCACTGTAGATGAGTGTGGCCTAGCATTGTCCTGGTGGAATACGACACCTCTCCTGTTGGCCAATTCTAGTAAATTGTTATCTTCAAAAGGTCCAGTTGTTGAATTTAGCATTTGGCCATATGGAAGCTACTCATAATAAATAATCCCCTTCCAGTGCCACCAAATGTATAGCAGAACCTTCCAGGCCATTAGTCCTTGTTTGGCCAACGTTTGAGGTGTTTCACCGCTTTTTGATCACGATCATTTTCGCACAGGGTTATCGTATGTGATCCATTTCTCATCTCCAGCCACCATCCGTTTAAGAAATTGGTCTACCTCATTCCGTTTGGACAAGGCTTCGCAGATGGAAATTCGATCTATCCGATTTTTTCTGTTAATTGGTGTGGCACCCAAACATCGATCTTCTTTTTGAATCCAGCTTTGTGTAAATGGTTTAAAACAGTTTTATGATCGATTTGTAGCTCCTAGGCGATGTTACGACTGCTAACATGCCAGTCTACTTCGATAATTTTTCGATTTTATCGACATTATCATAATGGATTTCTTTTTCCCCAACCTAATATTACGGACATAAATCTTAAGGCTTAAGCAGAATGTTCGTGTTGAGCGTTTTTTGTTATCGCATTAACGAACGCAAAAAGTTAAAATATATTTAACTCCGAAGCGCAGCGCACATCAACTTCGAGCATATGTGTTATCGTTTCCTTGTGGTTGTTGTTTTTTCGATAACATATAACGCGACGGATGGCTCAACGCGAGCATTCTGCTTAGCCCTTTAGGTGGATTAATTTTAAATAAACTTAACGCCTAAAAGTATGCTATGAAATTTAAAATTTCTCCAAATTCACATTTTTGGAAGGAAGGTTGGTGAATGTAAGTCATTATATTTACTTCTTATTTATTATGAATTTTTTTTTCAATAAAAAAATTTTCTTTATGATTTATTTTTTAAAAACAATTAATTTTTATTATCGAAAGCTATCCAATAATGTAATTCTCTCTTGTAATGTTTTCTACTTCAATTTGAATACTTTTACATTTAAGAATATTTTTTCTCCAAATCAAATCCTTAAAAATCTTTACAGTTTTTCTCATTTTTTTTTTAAATTTATTTATTACCCCCGCAAAGCTATGAACATCTATTGTTATTGGCATTCTATTCACCTTACAATAGAAATCTAATTTTATGGCCCAATGGCTGGTTGACCGACAAAGGCCTAGAAACAGCGATAAACAAATATATGAGTCAGGCCAACGTAACCTTAACTTTTATACTAAAACTAATCAATTTAACCAATTAATCACACCGGCAAACGATACAATAGAATTTTCATAGACTGCATTTTTACATTTTGTGTACATTCATTGTGTGTGTGTGTTTGTTTCTTTGTATTTGCCCAATTGATGGCATCTTCTCAAACAAAACAAATGGCAAAATGCAAACATTATAACATTGCATTCAGATTGAAACTGTTATGTCTGTCCGTATTATGGAACATATGTATATGCAACCATACAACACGCTCCATCTTTGTCCATCCATCCATCTTTGTAACTGCCCACCCGTTCAGCCCGGTCGTTTGGTCGGTCGGTCATTTGTCTGATCGCCAGCTAAAATTTCAACCTTGTACTTGTTTTCCCATTGTTGTTATTGAGAATGCAAAACCTACATTACATCTTTAAGTGTCGGTGATGCTAATGTTTATGTATGTTTTTCGACACACATACATATATATCTATGAATCTGACTTTTGTTTGGATTGTGTAAAACAAACGACTTTTTGAAGTACGAATTCTAATATTGGTAATACAAAAATAAAAGAATATATTTCGTTCCTAAATCTTTCGTTACAATTCACCTGACTTATCCTATCATCATCATCGTGTGTGTATGTATGTGGATTGGATTCGTTGCATTCTACTTACCTGGTGGCAATTTACTTTTCAGCATATCCATTGCAACGACATTGACAATCAGTACCCATATGGGGCATTCCAGTATGTCACTTTCGGACTTAACAAAAGCCACCGCTGACAGACATTGAGTCTCCAAACGTCGTCGATCGGGATAGGCTCGTCTCAGTTCACGATTAACATTTGATTGAAATTTTTTCATATCAAACAACTGCAAGGAAAAAAATAAAAGGAGAAGAATGAATAATATGCAAAAATGACAGGTGACAGAAGTACAATTTTATTGAAGGATTTTCTAAGGAAGACTGCCTTTTGTAAGGATCTGGTGTGAGAATCTTGGTTTGCCTACTTACTTTGACTATTTTTTCACTTTCCAATGCCTGATTGGGCAATTTCAAAATATCGGCTCCAATCGATGTCTCCTCATTTGGACTGCTAGCCGTACTTTTGATATAAACATTACTTTTGGCATAACGTCGTATTAAGATATTGCCAGCATCGTCCATTTTAATTTTGACACCCTGTAAGGAAAACAAAATGATAATAAAGTTAGTAAAAAAATATCTCAGATATATGAATACATATATCGACATAGTTTGCTATAGTCCATATTTGCTATCGATTATATCCTAGCATTTAAGTCCGAACATACATTTCTGTTGGCATGTAATGAAAAATTCTGAATTTTTAACAATAAAGTATTAGCCCCTTTGACCCATATGAAGTTATTGAATAATCTGAAAAAATACTGGGCTTCCTTGAAGGGAATCCCCTCCCATTTATATTTTGAAGAGAACAGATCATTAATGTCATCAGTACAGAGCCTTATAAATACAGGCCGTAAAATAATCTGTATCCTGTTGTCTTCCCTGATTACACTGTACAACAAATTTCAAGTTTTTAATTATTGGGAAAATCCAAAAAAATTATTATAGAGGGGATAAAAACAGAAGACACGTGTGTTGACATTTTGGAAGTTTACATCGGGAGGTAACCTCAAAAGACATGTCAATATTTCCCACTTCTAAGACATTTGAAAATATTCGGATTAAGATTTCTCGAAATCCTTGCATTTTAGTTATATGGCGTCTTCGACAATATTAAAGATATAAATGTGCGGAATATTTTTGTCTAGTACGTAAACCTTCAGTCTACTCCTTGAAAGCGTCTTTTCAGCCCCCATTACCAGAAATGATTGTAATCTCATTTAAAACGGGTCATAGCAGGTCAAAACATTCCAGAAAAATTATCGCCATAAAGTTTTACTATAAGTCTCAGAATAGACCAAAAACTGGAAAATCTTAAAGAGATGAAATTTCATTTTAGGGTTAAAATCTATCTTATTCCGAGTTCGTACCAAATGTTCCCGCTAGGTGTCGTTTTAAAAGGATGGCATGAAGGACAAAAATATTCTCCATAATCCAAGGAAATATAGGGACTTTGGTGCTCCATTAACATAAAATCGGACGAAACTATATATGAGATCGATATCAAAATCTGAACCGATTTCAACAAAACTTGGAATATATGTAATTCACTACTCTGTACAAAATTTTGTCCCAATCGGACCAATATTGGGAGTTTGGTGTACCATTTACATAAAATCGGACGAAACTATATATGGGAGCTATATCTAAATCTGAACCGATTTTCCCCAATTTCTATAGGGTTCGTCCTTGGGTGAAATAAGTGATATGTGCCAAATTTCATCCAAATCGGATCATAAATGCGACCTGTACTTGTTCGACTCATAAAGTGATTCTATGTATATTCTGAAAAGGAACCATGTGTCTATCTCGATTCCTTTTGCCTGTTACAAGCATATGCACCCTGTACCACAGAGTGGTGAAGGGTATAACAAGCGATTCATTTATATGGGACTATTTAAAAACGATATTCAATATTGCATAATTTCTAACTAGGCGTGTTTAATTAACCAATAATCCGATATAGCAAATTATAGTCACTTCGATGAAAAAATTAAAAAAGTATGATTTACCCCCAATACATCGGAATATCAAATTGCAACCACTACAATGGGGAAAGAAAGCTAAAACATTTAAAACACTGACAATGGATCGCTACTGTTCTAAGGGGGGCTCATTCAAAATGTGAACATATATTGATCAGTTTCTGTATATATTTATGCCTTCCGAAACTGGGTCCAATATTGATCATTTTTGGTGGGGAGATTTTCTACTTATTGAAAATAATAAATATAAAATTGCAGCCAAGTTGGTTAGGTTAGGTTAGGTTTGGATGTGCAGTCACATGTGTGACTGCAACACTCTGAGACCGATTAGGTCCGTTGTGATTAACCACAAGAAGAGATACAGCGAAGTGAAAAGACCAGAGAAAGAGCGGCATCCAGACTTTTTATCAATTCCGCTGCCTTCCAGATCGCGAAGATTTCAGCTTGGAAAACACTGCAGTTGCTATCCAGCTTGTAGGTTAACTCAAGGCCTAACCTTTCACAGCAGACGCCTGCCCCAAGTTGGTTAAATCACATGTCCAAAACCCCAAAGATAACGAAATTTTTGGATGAAGCGTATTATGGGGAATAACCTAAGAAATGAACCAATACTGATCATGTTCAGTAGAAAGATTTGGCAAACCAAGAGGGGACATTTTCTTAAAATATAGATCTTTGGGTTACAGGTTATGTGGGGGCTTCCCTAAAATATGGACCTATATTTATAATTTTTAGTAGGAAAATTTACTACCATACCACTACCCAAAATAACAAATCGACGCCTCCGAACCATAGTATGCTAAGTCTGAAAAGTGAGTTTTTCAGTAGAAGCTTTCAAAGTATGGAAATTTCTTTAATCGTACGTGCCATGATAAGTACATTTTTGCTTATAACTTTGGTTTGGATTGGTCGATGATTACCAAAATTTCAATGAATTTAAATTAAGGACCGTAGTATCTAAAAACGTAAAGAACTTTAAAACATGCTAAGTCGACTTAGCATACTATGGTTCGGAGGCGTCGAAATAGGTAGGTTGATCTTTTTTGGTCTATTCTGCAAACGGTATAAGAAAAAATTGTTTCTCACATCAAAATATATTTTTATACGATTAATATTCTTATGAACAATTTATATATTATTAATTACAACAGATTCGATGGTCATTTTTTGTGGCATAACTCATATTATACCCAGTCTGGGAATAAATAAAAAAGAACAGAAGAACATACATATGCACATAACTGTTTCCTTGAACTTTATGGCCTTAATATCGGCTTGAATATCATCAAGTAATTTATCAAATTATTTGAAAACAAATGTAAAGTAACCATACACCAAAAATGGTGAAAACCTCAATAAATATTAAAAAAAAACTAAAATTATGTTACGCCATTAACCAACAAAAAAATATTCTAAATTTTCCAATCGACCAGTCTCCACCACCATATAAAGGAAATTGAAATTGACGCCAGCGGTTAGAATTTATTGTTAATATGGATCATGATTGATATGATATGGCGTCACATTATGATTGAGATTGATTCGCATGCTTATGGTATTAGACAGCTTCAATGCTAGAAACCGCACTCTAAAAATGATTTATTTTTAATTAAAACTTAATTTTTTTTTGCGTCAACTAATGACCAGCGGAATCAGTAAGAACGTGTGACAAAACATGTTTGTTGTTGGGGAGGGTGTGGTGTGGGTGTTGTTAGTTTGTTCGGTAAGCTTATCTAGCATGTTGGCAGTTATTAATGAGGTTTAATTTGAGTTTTGGGTTTTTTTGTGGGAAGTGAAATCAAGAATTTAAGACTAGCTTGGGTTTCGTTCTTAATACCCTACACGTGGGTTAATTTTTGCAGCAGAATATACGAATTAACAATGGCTTATTATACACTGTGGTACCACACTATATTACTAATTGCATACCACTGCAAATTTTAAAATTAAATTTTAGACCTTGCAGAACAAAATCCTGGAGTTATTTGATTTAAACAATTGTTCTAAAAAATATTTCTATAAAAAGTTGATTTTGTTTATACAAATTGCAAAATACTGTCGATTGTCATGACTCCATCTCACTTCACATAATTATTATATGCCATATTTTATTTCAATAACTTACCTGGCCAATGTGTTTTTTAAATTCTTCTGTTTTCTGATCACGCATTGGATTATCGAAGCCACATAAACCGATTCTGAAAGTAACAAAAAACAACATAAAATAATTATTAACTTATTAACATCGAGTTTCTAAAGAGAAACTAGACAACAAATAATAACACTGTGCGACACGAAAATTTTTCAGGGGTTCTAATGTACCAATTCTGTTTAGTTGAAGTCCCTGGACCACGAAAATACCTTTGGTTTTTCTGGGTCACTTCGAAAATTAATTTTATAACGGTAAATATAGAGAAAAACGCGGTTTCATGGATTTTCCATTTGAAACTTAAATAACTTATTTACTTTATAACGGATTTATACTATTCTTTTTTTCTTTCGAAGAGTACAATTTTTCCTTTCAAACAAGATATATATTTGGTAAATCGGTTGAGGATTGGCTGAGTTACAGCGGTTGAAATGTGAAAAAATACGCATAAAGTGACAAAATTTATTTTTCTTCGGACTGTACGATGAAATTATGATATCAAGCCATATAAGTTTTATTATATTACGGGGAAGAAAATTAAATTAGCTTTCGAAAATGATAAAAATCAAAAAAATCGGTTAAAAAATGAATGACTTATACACATTTTTGTATTGATTCTATGCATATTCTCTAAAGGAAATATGGGTCTATCTCGTTTCCCTTTGCCTGTTGCAAACATAACGGTTTGTAACAGGAAACGATACAGACCCATATTTCCTTTAGAGAATATGCATAGAACCAATACAAAAATGTGTAAAAGTCATTCATTTTTTAACCGATTTTTTTGATTTTTATCATTTTCGAAAGCTAATTTAATTTTCTTCCCCGTAATATAATAAAACTTATATGGCTTGATATCATAATTTCATCGTACAGTCCGAAGAAAAATAAATTTTGTCATTTTATGCGTATTTTTTCACATTTCAACCGCTGTAACTCAGCCAATCCTCAACCGATTTACCAAATATATATCTTGTTTGAAAGGAAAAATTGTACTCTTCGAAAGAAAAAAAGAATAGTATAAATCCGTTATAAAGTAAATAAGTTATTCAATTTTCAAATGGAAAATCCATGAAACTACGTTTTTCTCCATATTTACCGTTATAAAATTAATTTTCGAAGTGACCCAGAAAAACCAAAGGTATTTTCGTGATCCAGGGACTCCAACTAAACTGAATTGGTACAATAGAACCCCTGAAAAAATTTTTTTTGTTATTTTGTAGAAACACGATGTGTCGTGTGAATCACATAAACTTTATGACTTTAGCTGTGAAATGATTTTTTTTCTTCATTCATTTGCCACAAATTGCTTCGTCTACCGCAAAACACATTTGTTGTTGTCGTTGTGGTAGTGAAATAAGAATGTCTGTCATTTGAGTTTTTAATTTGTTTGCCATTAAAATTTTGTTAATTTTTTTATTTTTAACATAAAACTTAAATATTGATTGCATAAGAAATAAACATTATTTTTTTCTTCATTTGCGGTAGATTTGTATTCAATGTCTTGGTTAATGGTATTATGATGTGACATAAAAAAAATTTGAAAATATTTGTAGAGATTTTTTTGTATATATAAAGATTCCAATGTGTAGCACATAATATGGAGATTTATTATAAGCAGAAAAAAGTCTTTATGACCACAATCAACATTCTTGGTCACTTAAAGACGAATGAAAGTGAAAACAATTTGAAAACCATTTCTAGGATAAATTATCGACAGAACTATAAAATAGTTAGCTGAGATCTGGGAACTATGGCTACATATGTTGGCATTTCCAAGAAGAGGTAAAATAAAGTCGAATAATTTTTTTCTCTATTTATACCCTTCACCACACTGTGGTACAGGGTATTATGTCTTTGTGCATATGTTTGTAACAGGTAAAAATAATCGAGATAGACCCATGGTTCCTTTTGAGAATATGCATAGAATCACTTTCTGAGTCGATTTATGCATGTCCGTCCATCCGTCTGTCCATGCTAAATTGTAAACAAAGTACAGCTCGCCTTTATGATTCGAATTGGATGAAATTTGGCACAGCTCATTTGTTTGGCCCAGGGACGAACCCTATTGAAATTGGGAAAGATCGGTTCAGATTTAGATATAGCTCCCATATATATTTTCGTTCGATGTGAGGTAAATGGTGTACCAAAGACCCTATATATCTTTCGATTTGTACGAAATTTGGCACAGCGTAATGAATAAGGTCTAGAACAATGTGTGCAAAATTTCGTATAAATCGGTTGAGATTTAGATATAGCTCCCATATATATCTTCGTCCGATTTAAGGTAAATTGTGTAAAAAAGTCCCTATATATCTTTCGATTTGTACGAAATTTGGCACAGCGTACTAAATTAAGTCTAGAATGATGTGTGATAAGTTTCGTAAAAATCGGTTCAGATTTAGATATAGTTCCCATATATAGCTTCGCCCGATTTTAGGTAAATAGTCCACTAAAGTCCCTGGAAATCTTTTGATTTGCTCGAATTTTGGTATAGCTTACTAAAATTAAGTCTAGAATGGTGTATGCAAAGTTTCGTGAAAATCGGATCAGATTTAGATATAGCTCTCATATATATTTTTAACCGATTTAAGGAATTGGGTGCACCAAAGACCCTATATATCTTTCGATTTGCACGAAATTTGGCATAGCGTACTGAATTAAGTCTAGAATGATGGTGCTAAGCTTCGTGAAAAGATCCATAGGTTGACACAACGTACCGAAGTAATATATATTAGTCTCTGGCAATTTTCCCTGAAATCGGTTCAGATATAGATATATAACAAAAACGCGTCGTCTGTTAGGATGCATGTGTCGAATATACCCAAAGTGGTGAAGGGTATCATATAGTCGGGCCAGTCCGACTATACTACTTTCCTTACTGGTTTTTTATTGGGATCTTATTTAGGTGTTCCCCAACCCCGCTGCAAATTTTTGTGACCCTAGACAACATGGGGCCATCAGGGCGACTCGTGGAATTCAGAAATTACGTTGGTTTTCCCTTATAACTACAAAAGCTTAACCCATTCGAAAGCTATAACGAATTTACTAGGATTATTTTAGATAGATTATCATTTAAGAATGGATTTAAATACTTATTATTTTAATGTATATATATTTTTGAGTTCCTACATCTAGATGAGATCCGTATAGACTAATTTAAAACAAAGAACCTCGCGATAGTCCAATTTTTTAATGAATTACTATCTAGCTATCTTTGGATGGGTACAAATGTACCACGGTTATTGTTCAACGTATAATTTTTTCGTTATTGATAAGTCTGATTTCAACAGACTAATGTGCATGGATAAATCGACATAGAGTTTTATTCTCAAAAATATAATATATACTTTATGGGGTTTCTTACAATAGAGTATATACAAATTGACTTCATCAAGATTATGTATCATGCTTTTTATTCGACCAAAAATAACATTTTTCTCATTACCAGTTCTAAAAATTGTTGGTCAAAAAAGCCCCTCTAAACAAACCGCAACTTTGAAAGTTAAAAAAAAAAAACTGAAAATTCACAAGATCATCATCATCATCGAAGCAGAAACCTGCTGAAAAACCACACCATGGCATCATTATTTAATACACCAGGCTCGTTTAGCTCACAATCCGCAAATGGTATAAAACTTTTTGTACAAAACACAACAACAACACTCTCAAAAATATAATCGCAACAACAACAAAAATTCATAAAAACACACAAAAACAAAAATTAACCAACAAAACAAAAAATGAAAAAAAACAATCGTTGCCTACTTAATGCACCTCAACAGTTAGCCAGAGTGCAGAGGATTATGCGAGTGCAACGGTTGCAAGGTCATCCACTGATGGTTGTTGCCGTTCAGAAAAAAAACGTCTTTTGTTGTTGCAATGTTGGTAATGATGATGATGATGGTGGCTAAATGTTACAGTAACTATTATCAAGCCAGCGAAACACCAAAAGGCGGTAACTGCAACAACAACAGCAACGGCACCATTTACCTTTAACGCTGTTGCATTTTTTGGTTTTTGTCTTTACTTCACTTGTTGCTGCCAACAGCATTGGCAGTGCTGGCTTATTAGCAAAATATCAACCAATTTTTTCGGTTTATTTTTGTAAACTATACAACGGTATATATTTACAACGCCTTTTATATACACCTTTACATTTTTTTCTGTATACATATATTTTTTTGTATCTACGGTATCTATGTATTATGCATTTTGTTTTATGTTGAAAGAATGAAAAACATAACTACCAAAATGAAACAACATTTTTGTGGTTTCTTTATAACCTCAAAAAATATTCCATTATAGCTTAAGCATTTTTTATAGAAGCATGAAATTTTTGTATTTTTATACCCTCTTAAATATTGGCAATATTTTAGATATTTTATTTGTGATTAGAAATGTTATGATTTTGTTATGATATTGGTTATGAAATATATCGATGTTAAGGAATACTTCAGTTAAAAAAAAGACTTAAGACAAAAGCGTTTTTTCCTTATATTAATAGGACAGGAGTATTAAAAATCAGGTATAAACAAAAACTAAATTTATTTAAAAATCAAGTTATAGAATTGTTGTAATATTTGTTTTACGATTTAATCCAAAGTTAACCAGTAAGTAATGTCTATAAAAATACAGGTTGAATGCCTGTCGATTTCATAAAAATGATGCACAAAAATCAATATGAAACTTTAAACAAATGAAAAATAGTTAAGTTTGGCCGGGCCGAACTTTGGATACCCTCCACTATAGATATACTGACAGGTACTAGACATGAACATATAGGGAATATATCAAAACGTGGACCTGTGCCGACATTTCCACAAACCGGTTATATAAACCACAATGTAAACTATAAAACAAATTTCAGAAATTTTTAATGGACAATTATTCTCTCAACTTTATGTATAATGAGGGCATATGCACTTTGACACGGTTAAAATGGTTCTAGATCCATTTTTTCTTTGGATCAAATTTGTTTCAGAAAATTTCGATTTCATCCAAACTTTGGCCATCTTCAAAACTTAGTTCAAGTTCGAAGATGGGGAA